TGATGAGGAGGAGGAGGATGAGGAGGGAGGAGGAGGAGGAGGAGGAAGACGAAGAGGAAGAGGAAGAAGAAGAGGAAGAAGAAGAAGAAGAAGAGGAAGAAGAAGAAGAGGAAGACGACTAATCATAATAATACTGATAACAATAATAAGTAGAGGAGTAATAATAACAGTAATAATAAAACGATCAATAATCAGAATAATACTAATATTAATGATAAGACGAATACGACGAATAATAAGAATAATAATAATGAGAGTGCCAAGAATAATAATAACACGAATAATAATAACAAGAGTATTAATAACCATAAGAACACTAATCATATTGATATTAAGAGGAATAATCATAATAATAATGAGAAAACTAAGCATAACAATACTACTACTACTAATAATAATAATAATAATCAGAATGCGAATAATAATAAGAAGGAGAAGAGGAGGAGGAGCAGGAGGAGGAGGAGGAGGCTGTCTCCTGATCGCGAGGTATACGCCGAGTGCTGCGCCTACATGGCAACTCCAGGCGTGCACCCTGCAGAGGGCCTGGGCTCGGAGGGATCTGGCGGGCAGATGGCAGGGGGCGCGAGGAGGGGCGCCAGAGAATAGGACGAGGAGCATGGGACGACGAGGGAAAGGATGCCGAGACAATGTTGAATAACAGGAGACGGCCTGAGCATAGTTCCTCGGGGATCCGCGCGGGCCTCAGAGAAATCATGTTTTCACCACCCTCTAAACCACCCCAACCCAAACCGAAGGCCCCAAGGTGCCCTCCATTCCGAGGTGGTTGGGGGGGAATGAAGAAGATTGATAAAACACATATGAAGCCCGTACCCCCCCCCGCCCCCAACCCGAAATCCGGATCTTCGGGCTTGCTTGGGGTGGTCTGGTAGGTCGTCATGTTCATGCCGTCTTTTGTTCTTTTCGTCCTGGCGTCGCATTTTCTCACGCCAGGCCATTTTGCCCCTGATTCGGGCCCTCGGGCCCTCGCAGATCGACCAGGGCTCGAGACACGCCGCAGAAAGATGGCGTCGAGGGTTTGGTCGTGATTTTTACGATGCTGTTTTTTGCTGTGACGTCGGATCTCAGGGAAGAGAGTTTACGGTCAGAAACTTTGGCTTGTTCTGGCCCACCACGCTTCGGCGCGACACGCTAACCATTTTCCATGTTGTTTACACCGGGTGATTTCGCCTTGTTTCGGGCCCCAGGACCCTCGCAGATCGATCCGGCTCGAAGCACGTCGCAGACAGTTAGTCTTCGAAGTGCCCTTGCTAAACTTTTCACCGCTGGCTGCAGCCCACTTGCGCGTCGAAGGAGCAGTCAGTGTATGTTCTGCGCGCGTTGCCCGCAAGGCCGTGGCCAGCTGCTCCTCAGCATGCTGGGTGTGGCCCTGTCGCCGGCCGCCCGGAACTACCTGAAGAGGACCGACCAGGGCCTCAAGCAGTTCTTGCTGCAGCACCCGCAAGTGTGCCTGGGGCATGAAAAGCCGCAGGCCAATACTGAGGCTGGGAGGAGGAAGAAGTCGGCTTCAATGCACTCGCAGCGCGAATGTTCACGGATCGCTCCTCCTCCTCGTCCTCCTCCTCCCTCCTCATTTCTGCTTCTCCTGCTTCTCCTGCTCCTCCTGCTCCTGCTCCTGCTCCTCTTCCTCCTCCTCCCATTCTATTTCTTATCCCTGTCCTCCGCCTCTTCCTCCTCCTTCTCCTCCTCATCCTTCTCCTTCTCCTCCCCTTCTCTTTCTTATCCCTGTCCTCCGCGTCCTCCTCCTCTCACTCCTTCACCTCCTCTTTCAGAGGCAACCTTCGGGGGGGATAGGCTCAGTTGGGGATGCATTGACCCCCAATCGCCCATCCATCGCCGACAGGGGCCCGATAATCCCAACCAGCCCAGGAACGTGCGGGTTGTCTGTCTGGGGCCTATCGCAGATGAGTCGGCGATGTATCGCCGAGTCCAGGTCGATGTTTCCCTCCCTGAGCCTGCCCCCCCCCCCTGGTGCCCCTCACTCTTGCTCCTCTCGCTCCTCCTCCTCTCGCTCTTCCGCCTTCGCTGCCTCCTCTCTCTCCTGCTCCGCGGCGGGGCGGGTGTCCTGCCCAAGCAGCTGCGAGGCCTTGAGGGCCATGCGGCGGGAGTGGTCGACGTCTGATCGGGACGCCGTCCGTGGGGCAGGACCCCTCCCCTCCCCCCCCTCCCCTCCCCTCAGCATAGATGATATCACTATCGCCGGGGCGCAGAGGGGACCACGGATGGTACGCACTAGGCTCTCTGTTTCAGTCGCGCTGTAGCATTAGATCGCGGCCACCTTGGCACACAGCAGGGCGTTATCATTTATTTTTACGCCGAGCGCACTTAAGCGCTAACCGCATCGAGCTAGGCCAGACGGGAGCCGTCGCGGAGGCCTTGAATTCCAGCTCCCCCTCGTTCCTCTTTCCTCCCCCTCCTGCGCCTCCCTTGCTTGGGGGGTTCTGCCCACGATGTGTCAGAGCTCGGCGCCAGTGTGGAGGGC